GACTTAATAAATCTGTACAAGGAACCAAATTTTTTTGATTGTTCTTATGTCTTATTGGAACACAGTCTATTTAAAATCTTTCGTTCCGTTTTTTATCAGCTTTTATTTTTGATATATCCACTTCAGTTAAGGTCTAACGACATCTCTGTTGAACGTTCGTCAAATTGACCATTTAACCTAACCTGATAAATACCCCGTCACAAAATGCCAGCGTCGAGTCGTCATTTTAACTTTCAAACGCTGATAATTCTATACACACGTGGATTTGAAGACTCAAATTTCGACGGTGAGCTGTGAACTGATTGGCTTAACTAAATAAATTCCCGTTTCTCAGACTAAGGTATGATTTGTGAGACGGATGGCAAACACTTCCCTTTAAAGAGACCGCATTAGCGTCATCTCCAACCTTTGTTCTTCCGTTTTAACAAATTTAAAGAACATATCCGGAGTTGATTGACTTAAAAACACCGACAAAAGTCATTTGAACTTTACTCTTATATAAGTTCAAAGGTTATTGGATTTAAACAACTTCAGTATTGAAAGAAAACGTTGAAAGTTTACAGTCGTTTCATATTTGTTAAGCGGCTGATAGAACTCCGTACAAAAACGTCCAAAAACACTCGACAAGATTATGACGTCATCATCGAAATACATTCCAGGCTGCACGAACAAAGTCAGAGGGATAACATCGATAAAGTGTCGTAATCAGGTCATAAGGTCATGAATAGTATATCTCAAGGTGTTGTCTGTCCAAATCGGTGGTACAGTAATCTGAGTGACTTCATATTGCCATCAACTGTATTGCAATTGGCGAATGACATAATTTCCCCCATTGCATACAGCATGATGTTGTCTGTCCTTATAAATATAATGTGAATGGCTCTGCCACTGTTTACTAGTGATAGATATGAAGGTCGATGGAAGGTGTAGGCGTATAACATAATTTCCCTCATTGCATACGTCATGGAGTCCATATACTAGTGCTACTGTGACAGTTGGGTTATGAAGGACACCATTTTCTAGATACTGCACTAAAGCATTTCACGTAATCTTATTGGTTGATATTGTCACATGATTACAATAGGTCACATGACAATTATAAAGAATAATAATTAAACGGTGTGAATGACCTAGGATTCAAAACTAACCTAAATAGATAGACGTTAGAAGGCGATGCTTTATCAACAACTTCAACGTTATCTGTAATATGACCATCCTATATTTTGTCGACCAATATATAAGACATCTATGTTTTGTTTTGTCTGGAATGGGTAGCCAAAACATCGGTTTTTGAGAAGGGATACAGGTCATTTCTTCAAAGTATCAAACTTCCGTTATCTTTAATTTGATCAATCTATATTTGTTGACCAAGATTTGAGACATCTATGCATTGTTTTGTGTAGAATGGGTAGCTAAACTTCGGTTTTTGAGAAGGATACCGTCAAAGCACCTGGAGAACCTATTATACTAAGGAGACCTGTCCCGTGGCGTTTCTACGGGTTTACTGCTCCCCACTCCCACAGCTACAACCAACCACCCCCCCCCCCCCCCACCCCCTTTCTATGGCCCATGCTTGACCCCTACACTTAATGACTCATACAAACAACTGCGTGGAAGGGAAACATTTTCTAAATATTTTGATGATGGAAATTTTCGTTGCTCTTATCTTCAATGTTGACCCATTTCCCCATTTAAATATTCCAACTGATAGGAATTGCCTTATATGGTCATTGTCGCTTTAGGATGCCATTCATGATAATTACGCGTTGCGTGGGACTTAATCTAATTGGAACATTGTTCATGCAAGGGGACCCCGGTTTATGCTAATATCTTGGAGGGCTCGGTTTTACATTAGGATAGCAGAGTACTGTGTTCGGTTTCGTCGGTTTTTACATTCTCGGGAGAGTAGAGTACGGTGTGCGGTTTTACATTCTTAAGAGAGCAAAGTACGGTATATGGTTTTACATTCTTAGAATAGCAAAGTACGGGATACTGTTTTACATTCTTAGGATGAAGAAGATGACGACTCGTCATTTTAACTTTCAAACGCTGATATTTCTGGACACGCCTGGATTTGAAGGCTTAAATTTCGAAGGCGAGCTGTGAACACTATTACTGATTAGCTCAGCTAGAAAATATTTCCGTTTCTGAGACTTAGATACGATTAACGATTGGTCAAACGGATGGCGAACTTGTCCCTTTAAAAAAACTTTATTTAAAATAAATCGGTGACTTTATCGCAAAAAAAGGGAACACAGACACAGCAAATTGTGTGACCTTTGTCGGAGTTTGAATTGTTCTGTATCATTAAAACACCAACACGAGAAGAGACTACGGATGTTGCGTCTAGATTACTGTCAGACAAAATCTACTTGAACTTAAGGGATTATTTGGTTTATGATTACACGGATGCACCCTAATGTACACCTGACACTGTTTATATAGAGGTTATCGCCCTTGAATTAAGCCTTCTTGTGCAGAAAGATGTAAATATCACCGGTGAATTTAAATTCAAGGTAAATATCGCTACGTATTTTTTAGTGTCAAATTAAGCAAACTATTTGATTAATTGGTGTTTCTAATGAATTATCATGTATTCTTAATCATATCATTATGTTCTTGCATATAATTCAAGAGTTTCAACCAATCATATAATTTCCATGTATGTACAGTCTGGATAAACAAAAAAGACTTTTTGACCTTTCTTGATCGGTCACTCATTGGAATTCTGCTGGTAATTCTCTTCTAATTGAGCTAATTATGAAATAGTTATGAAGATGTGAGACAAACTGGTATTTTTCCATGTCATTAGAACACATTTTCTTTCTATTCATATAGGTATTAGCATAAATGAAAATAAGGGAACCCATCTTTAACATACATAAGCATTTCGGGTTAAAGAATTTTTTAAAGGTATTGTAGAATTTTATGTGCGTATTCGGGATATTTAAAGCTTCTTTTCCATCCTTCCAATTTACTGTCAGATGTCTGTGATTCCTGTAATTATAGAAATGCTTAACCGTATATGACGTCAGCATCTCAAAAGCTGCTGATAGTGTCTAAGGACGTTTCGATGGTTTACATGGAAGGTCGCTTCGCAGAATATTATTTCTAAAATCTATTCAAAGCGTTTCGATCGTTTACGTCACAAGTAACTATTCAGAATATCTTTTCAGTTTTATGATTCTACGTTTCGATCATATACAGTGTAAATTAATAGCCTCACATAATTTGAAATACATGGTACAAAACGTTTCGACCGTTTACACTTCAATTTGCCTTATACAATGTTATCTTACTCCATATGTTTATCGTTAATATTGTAACTACAGTACATACTAGAATATGTCTATTTTTATGTAAACAACGTTTCGACAGTTTACATCATCACTGATATTGACGATTCATCTTTTCATTCTTGTTTTATCCTTTTTGAAAAGCCGATTTTTTTCTCATTTTGTTTTTGACAAAAGGCAGGAAATAGGAAGTTTTTTTATTTAAATAGGGCGCCAATTTGTAGCATTCCAAATACATCATTTTTTTGTTGAGTTGTTTGCTTAACCTTGGTGGAGAAAGGGATGATGTTTGCATTGATATTATACGATCATTGGCTTTTTATTGAAGTGTACGGCAACGTGTACGTAAGACGACGACGCCGTGTATAAGTGGTTATTATTTAAAGATCATGGTTCGCCACTTTCTGGTGTTTTTTTTTATTTGGGTCTTTGATATATGTATATAGTTTTCAGAAGTACTAGAAATGTACCAAAATAACATAATCCCTTAAAATATTCCTCAAACTAGGAATTTTGCTTTCTATTTCTATAGGGCCTATCTCTTTTCTGTATATGGCGGAGTCTCAAGAAAAGATGAGTCATCAATTAAACTTTGAAACGCGGATTCACATGGGTTTTAAGGCTCAAATTTAGACGATGAGCTGTAAACACTATTACAGATTAGCTTATCAAAAAAAATCCCTTTTCTGAGACTAGAGTATGATTGACCACACGGATGGTGTAAGTGTCCCTTTAAGATGACGACGTCGTATATAAGTAGTTACTATTTTTAGTCCCTTGTGCAATTGTTGCAACCGTACACGTTGGGGCTCTTTGACCCTCCTTAAGAAACAATATTGTGAAAGCGAAATCGAGTGAAAACCAGTATAACTAGATTAAGTATTCTAAACAAAATACCGTCACCAATTTTTGATGAGGTCATCATTTTTGCAAAGCCGTCCTAGTCGAAAAGGTGTTACCTCACAGTTGTACAGTTGTGCAGTTGGCTAGTTGTTGAAGGTTTGTGGATTGTTACTTTACATTTCTGTAGAATATTTTCATAGATTGCCCACTTCTGTTAAATAAGCCTCTAGTGTCTTCAAAAAATAAAGATGTCCCGACAAGGGTTGTTTATCGGGAACACATGAAGGCAGCATTATGACTAGATATCCTTGACTGTTGGTATCCTTGAAGTTGGTTGTAACCTTGATCAGACCTACGAAAATTTTTCGTTGAAAGATTGCAATAAGTGGTGAATTAAGAAATTTTATAACATTTAATGTCTGGATGTACCTGACTTTAAAAAAACATCTGTATATAGTCTCGAACCGCAAGATGTATTAATTACTTTCAAGCTTGCAATGCACATTTTATTCCAAATGTTTTGGTCTTGGTGTCCTTGCTATAGTCTCGCCTTTAAACCTGCAATGCACATTTTATTTTCTCAGTGTACTTATTGTACTTTGTATGTCTGGGTGTCCTTGACTAAAACAGCTGTTTGTAGTCTTGATTAACCAATTGTATTATTTGCCTTGGAAATGTAACTAGCGGCATTCTAGTCCCGAAATGGATACGAATGGCTTTGCAGCCTGCAATGTACATTTTGTCGTCTTACTTTAACTTCAAATACCTTACATCATAAATTTTGTTTCTGGATGTCCTGGACTTAAACAACTGTTTGAATTCTTGATTCCCCAGTCGTGTTAAATGCCTTCAAGCCTGAAATACAAATTTATGTGTCAAAGTTACTTGCGTATTATTATCCCTGAAGTCAGCAATACACATTTTGCTGTTTAAGTTACTTGAATTTCAAATACAATATACAACATACATGTTGTGTCTGGGTGTCCTGGACTAAAACAGCTGTTTGTAGTCTTGATACCCCAGACGTGTTTATTGTCTTGAAACGGCCTGTTGACTGTAAACAATACAAGCCTATTATATGATTCCCTATGGTGTATTTAATATTGACAATATTTGATTTATTGATAAGATTATGAGATTTTTCAACTGATATTGAAAATTTAACATGGGTTCGAAATGCGTCCATTTCACTAAGAGTCTCAAACCGAAAAACTGTCCCTGCAAATTTTCCCCACTGCACACTGCATGGTGTTCCCAAATCAGGTTAATCTCAGTTCACTCAAGTGCGGAATACATAGCTTGGATCTTTTGACAAGCGGCGAATATCTGCCCAATTGTCTTAAAAGTACGATCGCTCGATAAAGTACATCGCGTAGGGGCAGACGAGCGAATTGGACAGCGAATGAGTCCGCCGGTGTAAACAATGGCCGAAAACATCTAAAAGATTTAGACAATATTTACTGCGTACGAAATCAACGTCGACGTTGCACGGGCACATGAGCAAATATTTAAACGATTATTAAATTCACTGCGACCGGACGCATAGGTAATTTCAACATTCGAACACAACATCCGTGAATACGAATGCAATGCGATAACGAATCCTTCATTAAACAATGACCTTAATCATTGACATCTATGACCTTAATTCAATCGACAATTGATTTTGGTGACTTCATCTGTCACGATATCTTATTTTACGACACGAAACATAATTGACATGAGTAACGGATGCGTTCAAATTACGGATCAATAGAAATGATATAATATGTAACACGATACGCAACAATACAATGGTGTTATTGCAAGGACAATGGCGTTTGGTTTAAGGTTTATCCTTAGGTTTAAAGACGTTTTAATTTGGAATATAAAAAATAGACATAGTTTTAGAAGGTAAAACCGTCATGTAACAAAATAAAACGTAAAAGTCTAATAATTTCATTTCAATTTATGTCGTTTCTGATTAAGGCGCGAATAGATGATGTACGGTGTCCGGTGCGGTGTACGGTGCGGTGTTATCGATACAGTAGAAAATAGAAGAAACGGAACCGTACCTCGTGTGTTCACTTGATTTAGTTTCTACTGTACCGCACCGTCACCGCACCGGACATCGTACATTGTCTATTGGCTACTTAATACAGCCCAGTCAAACAAAATACATAGTTTGTAAGGTAGAAATGTACCTATGTACTATATAAAAAGGATTTTAGAAATACGTAAATCATTTCATTTCATTTCAAAATGTTGTCGTATCTTATATAAGATGTAGGATAATCTATCAATATAGATGGCTTGAAAGGTAGAAATGTTTTATCTATATCAAAATACAATTTAAAGGGTAGAATGTTGTAGTGAAATAACGTAAAAATCAATTTCATTTCATATGGAAAAAAAGTCAAGTCATTCGGATGGGACAAAACCCCGTGTGCTACAGATCCCTCGACAGTCGGAAATCGAAAAAGAGCAGGTTAATGCCACTGTCCTGTCAAAATTTCCCTCATTGCACACTGCATGGCGTTACCCGTCTTCATTAGCCCACAAGGTATAGAAAAGTATTACGTAAACCTCCAATCATTTCATTTCAAATATTTGTCGTTAGGTCGTATCAAATATAAAATATACCTAATTTAGGACAGCCAATTCAAACAAAGAATAAACAGTAAAAAAGTTATTAAAAAAAGACGTAAAACTCCATGTCCCATTCTAGCCGTAGGACGTAAAACTCCATTCATTTAATTTATTTCCATTCTAGCCATATTATATATGCCCTTGAAGGTTAATATATACAGGCAAATCAAACAAATTGTAAAAGGTGTAGATTTTGTTATTTAAATTTGTTACAAAATAGAATGTCACCTGACGAAAGTTTCGTCATAATCGGCTGCTTGTATTCGC